CGGCCATGAGCGCGAGCGACGGCGACGAGATGTGGTCCAGCAGGTCCCCCGGCTCGAGCGCCTGGTGGTGATGGTGGTGGTGGTGGTGGTGGGCCAGCGGCACGGTGGACGTGGACGTGCACGGCACGCTGTTCATCGTGTGGTACGTGGCGTCCGGCTTGAAAGGGTGGCTCTTGCCCTGGGACACCGCGATGTCCACGGCCGCCAGCGCCTCGGCCCGCGCCAGCAGCGTCTCGTCCAGGCTGGCGAAGAGGTTGCTCTGCAGCTGCAGGCGACACAAACCAAAACAAAACGAAAACACACACCACAAAACCAAAAAGAAAAAACAACACAACAACAACAACAACACACACACACACACACACACACGCCGGAAAGCACAACCAGCAAAAAGCAAACACAAAGCAACCAAAAATAACGACGTGGAGGGGCGGGGTGGGGGGAGTGAGAAGAGCGGAGAGCGGGAAAGACGGGACACACGGGGGGGGGCACGCCGGGGACAGGGGCGCAGGGTGGGGTGCAGAAGGGGGAGAAGGGGACACGGCGGAAACACATTCCGGGAAGGAAATGTGGGAGACGAAAAAAAAAGAAGGAAGAAAAGGAGAAGAACAAGAAGAAGAAATGGAGATGTAACTCGCAGCTGGGGACCCGTGTCGCACACCCGAACACGCGCAGAGATCGCCTGTTTTCGAGGCGTGAAATTAACAGAGAAAGTGAAGGGAAGTCGAGCATCATCGCGGCCACCCCCAGAACTCCCCGCTCGGGTCGCAGGCGGACGGGATCACGACCTTAAGCTCCGCCGGACACAGCGTGCCTCCCGGCGGGCTTCCTCCACCAACCCGCGCCCGATTCCGCCCGCCCGCACCGGGACCCGCACACCCCGGCACCCGACCAGCCGCGTCTCGAAGGGGGGTGGAGGGGGTGGCGCGGGCCGGCGCCGCGGGCGCGGGGCGCTTACCGGCGGCGTGGGCAGGCAGGCCCGCCGGATGGCCTCGGAGCTGGAATGCAGCGACGGGTACTTGTGCTCAGGGAGGGTGGGATGCATGGCAAAGTGAGGCTGCTTGCTGTTCATGGACATCATCTTGGCGGCTTGGCATGTAAATCCACAAACACTCCGAAAGTCCGCGGGAAAGTGTGCGCGCGGCTCCCCCGCCCCCCGGCCTTCCTTCCGAAGCTGCGGCCGCTCTGGCTATTGCGGGTGACGGTGGCTGCTCCGCGGGCGGCTGCTGCTGCTGATCTGACCGCCGCCCGTTGGTCCCTTTGACCGCGCAGAGCGCCGCGCGCGCCGGCCTCGCCGGTCCCGCTTCTCCTGGAGCTCTAGCCCCGCGCGCCGACGGGATGCACTCCTCTTACACCTGAGCCCCACTTCTCGCGGCCGGCCCGGGGAGCTCTCGCGAGAGCTCGCGGCCCCACCGCGCTGACAGGCATCTGCTCACTCCGTCTGTCTGGCGCGCGCTCCACTTTTCGCCGGCGCTGTGCGTCTTCGCGCGCGCTAGCGCGCGCGTGCGCGCACTCGCCAGGCCGCGACAAGCGCTTGGGAGACGCTCTTATAGTGACCATCCGTAAGGACAACGCAGGTGATGCACCTGTAGCTGTACAGGCATGCGCACTGTACGCCCCACCTTTCCACCGCGGGTCTGCAAAGATCAGAAGGGCCAGCTATTGTCTTAAGACTAGGCACCTTTTGGAGGAAGAAAGACAGGATGTAAGCGCGCCCCTCCATGTGTGCGTGATTTCCCCCCTCCCCTAGCTATTCCTGAATATATGCGCATTACTTAGGCACACCTCTTCTGGACTCCTAACAAGCTGTTATATAATGTATACTGCTGGGCATTTGTATGTTAAATTATGCCTAGGCATTCCTAGGCATGGGAGAAGAAAATAACAACATAGAAATGGGGAAGATGCTGTCTTTTGCTGCAAGAACCAGCTCCTTTCAAGGTTTATAAATCGGTTCCCGGAGAATAATCGTGGTGACAGACATTTGTTTGAAGCAGTCAGACGCTATTGATTTCCACATAATTTAATTTCTCCGCATACTTTGTTGTTGTTGTTGTGAATATAACTGTGTCGGGCACCACCAGTGACAGCCACTTAAGAGCCACAAGGAGCAGGTGCTTTCTACTCGGGAAAGGCTGTTGAAATGAAATTGTGCATTTCTCTTATTGTTTGTCTTCTTTAACGGTGTACAAACCCATCTTTCAAACGAGCTCCCGGTGATCTGAGGCATCTAGTAATCAAAAGGGAAAAACAGTTAACAGGGTGTAGTTGGGATCTTCTCTTCTCCATATTCTCTCTCTCTCTCTCTCTCTCTCTCTCTCTCTCTCTCTCTCACACACACACACACACACACACACAAGCATGCGCACGTGCTCGCGCACACGCACAGAGCTTTCCTTGCAACTTCAGGAGAAGAAAATCACTTCAGAGGGGAAAAAAGGATTATAATACTGAAAAGAGAACTTTCTCCTGGCTTTTTTGTTCCTCCTCCCCTCCCCCCTTGTCTCTGCTTGCTTATGTTGTTTTCTTTAATCGGAGACAGGAAGAAGCTAACCTATAAGAAAGAGGCGTGATTCGAAATATTAATTCAAATCAATTTGAAAGAATAGGCACAAGCCAGGCAAGAGCCTTTAATTTTTTTAATTACTGTGAAATCAAGACCTAAGAAGAATAAATCAATTAGCCAACCTGTTAAATGGCCCTCATGTGGCAGGCAGATCAAGGGGCTCCCTGGGGAACCACAGTTCAGGTGCTTAAGTCTCTGGGGACCAAGTGCTAGCCTGGGGTGATAATAACCATCCAGATGTTATCACATCTGCCACCAGCAGTTAGGAGCTTCTTACGGAAAGCAGGGATCAGATAAATAATCTTTCAGGTCTCTTCCACATTAAGGAGGTTTTCATTTCTGTCAAAGGGCAGATCTCAATTCTATAATTGTAAATCTGCATGTTGGTAGATTTTTTTTCTCTTTTGCCTTAATGTATGTGTATTTAGTGTATCCACTCACCCATTAGGATTCCAAGAATAGCCCACAGGCGTCACCATGGCTTTTTCTTTCTTTTCTTTTCCCTTTCCTTTTCTGTCCTCCCACCTCCCTTCCCTTTCTCCTAGAGGGAAGTGAGAAGGATGTTCACTTGCTGGTGAAAGGAGCTGCATTTCCATCCATTATGCAGTCCCCTGGGAGTGCTAAATGTAACTTTATCTCCACGGGGAATAGACCATGAGCGGGACGTAGCTGGAGGGAAAGAGTGAGTCCTGTGGTCGTTGTCTCACCGGGTGTCCAGGTTTAACCTAATCCATCCTGACACCCACGGAAGATCCCACTGTTCTCCTGCAGGGTGTAAGAAAGAGCCCCTCCCTGCCACCCAGGGCAAGTGCCAGGAGCACACACAGTATTCACCCACCCACCCTGGCTCCGGCGGCCCCCCCTCCCACTGGAAATGCTTGCCTTTAAAAATCTTAAAGGGTGCAGAACAGACAGAAAAGGGGACAGCAAAGTTTTGTAACCAGGTAGCTCTCAGAGAGGTGTGTGTGTGTGTGTGTGTGTGTGTGTGAGAGAGAGAGAGAGAGAGAGAGAGAGAAAGAGAGAGAGAGGGAGGGAGAGAGAGAGAGAAGAGGGGGAGGGGGAGGGATGGGGGAGTGAGAGATTCTACTACTCCAAGGAAACCTATAAACCATGACCTCCAGTAACTCCCAAAGGTGGTACAGGGGCCTGAAATCAGGTTCCCATTCTAGCAAGACCCCCTCCTTATCTCACCTCTCCTTGGACAACAAAAGTGCCTTTTCATCTCTAAGTGAGGTGGGACCTCTACCCAGAATGCCTTCTTCTTTGCAGAGAGAACTAAAAGGTCACAGGTACAATGTTCTCTTTTCTTCCACTCATGGACTTTAAGCCTACCTAGGCCACATTTTTTCCCCATCATGATACTTGGGGAGATCATTGTGGAACAATATATGTGTTTAGGAAGGAAGACTGGTCAAGCTGGAGATGACCAAGGAGAGGCATCCAAGAAGAGCCTTGGAGGGCATCACCTTATATAGGAGGTAGAGCCTGGGCATGGGAGCATGCTTGCCCCGGGGCAGAGTTATAAATCTTTATTCTTTTTCAGAAATTAGTTATTTCACATTCAGTTACTACTCTATTTTCTTTCTTCAAATGCTTGCTGAGCCCCAGTCTGGACACCAGTGTAAGACACTAGAGATAAAATGAGATTAAAAACTTTTGGTGTTGTGGACTCATGCCTGTAATTCTAGCTACTCAGGAGGCTGAGATCTGGTGATCATGGCTTGAAGCTAGCCTAGGCATGAAAGGTCCCTGAGATTCTTATGTCCAATTAACTACAAAAAAAAAAAAGGAGAGTTGTGACTGAAGTGGTAGAGTGTTGGCCTTGAGCACAAAAGCTCAGGGAACAGCGCCCAGGTTCTGAGTTCAAGCCCTAGACCCAGCACCCACAGGAAAAATAAAAGCTATAAATCTTATGCTTTTCCCCTCTAGGAGGTTAGAATCTATGAGCATGAGGAAACCACAGAAGAAAGGTGTTTACGGTGCAGGTGTAGCAGGGAAGATGGGAGGAGGTGATTCTTGAGGGTTATTAGACACATTCCTGCTGAGCCACAGCCCCAGGCCACCCAATAAGCAACACTGGTACCTCTGTCTGCAATTCTGAGGCCCCATCAAGTTCTGCTCTTGTGCCCTATCTACGATGGATATAAGGGAAGGGAGGTGAGTCTCCACTCAGCTTTCCCATATGGCACTGCTTTGTTTTCCTGCCTTGGCAACTCTTGTCTCTCGTTGGTCCCTGTCTGTGTTAATAACTCCCACATGGGGTCTGAGCCTTGGCATAGATTCCTGGACAATTTTTCCCTCGCTGTTTTCTTATTTAATGACCAACACAGAGTCCCTCCCCCCCCCTCATTTCATAGCTTTGCATTTTATCAAGGGGGGGGAATAATGAATGCATGGCTATTGATTTCCTAGGAATTTCGGCCCCCAGGGACAGGAAGTCTATCATCTGGATCAAAGACACATTTCTTTCCCTCATTAATTAATTTTCTCCTCCTCCTTTGGCAAGCCTTCCTTCACATTTCCTTTGGCAGAACCTTTTTTTCCTGCGCTTGGAGAGTAGACTGGTTGGTTGGAGTGAGGACTGGTGGGAGAGGGTCCTCGCTAAACCCCACACCATTACGGGTGAACTCCTCCGGTGTCTAGGGGAAGTTATGGCGGAGCAACCCCTGTCTTTTTAAACCTCTCTGGTTGAATCGGAATTGTTCAGGCCAGGTTAGAGGAGACTGGAGAGGAGCCTTGGCAAATGAGAACGAAGGTGTCTGGAGGTTAAGTCAGGGGCCTTGCTCTTGTGGGAATTCAAGGGTTTGTTCCCCCTCTCCCCCATCCCCCAGAAGGCCAAAGCCAGAGGTCTGTTCTTCCACAGACTCCAGGTATCTATAGGTATCTAGCAGGCATAGCCCAGTTGGAAATGTGGTCACTTTTCACTCTCTGCAAACATTCTGCCTGCGGGGGGGGGTACCCCAGCCCCGGCTCCCCCCCCCCATGCCCAGATCGCCGTTTTTGGAGAACACTTTGCGCAAGGTTAAGATTCAAGCAGGAGAGAAGTGGAGGCCCTAAGGTAGGCATTGGATTGTGGGTCTCCTAACAGGCCCTCCGTTTATATCCCAGTAAACCCTAGTTTGCTATGGTCTGCCTGGAGTGTGGAACCCTGGAGTGTGCCCCCCCCCCAAGACGCTTCCCCAGCACCTAGGCTACTTTGATCTCTAGTCTCTCCGAAAGCTAAGCCTTGCCTGTCTTGGCCGGGGTCTTCCCCAGCCTCTGATCTCCTTGCCCCTCCCACCCTGGGTCCCCAGACCTCGCTGGTCAGTCCGGATGCCAAAGCATCAACTCCGCCCGGTGCTGGACGGTGGCCCTGTCCGTGGTGGTCCTCAGGGCCCAGGACAGCCTCGTGCTGGACACCTTGTCGCTCAGGATGGCTTTGGGCTTTGCTTGAGGCCACTGTCCTTGTGTCCCCCACCCCCGCGCCCACTGCTGAGCACCTGCGGCCTCTCGCCTCCTCCTTCGATTCCCCCAAG